AACTTGGAACTGACGCAGGTCGAGAGGGACTCGATTCTCCACGCTGTTCCACTAAGTTCCTCCACGATGTTTGTTTTCTATCTCCTTAAAATGTCTGTAGGGTGCCGTGATTCACCATAGACATTGCCCTCGCGAGTTGGTACTTTCCGCTCTCTCCCAGATCGGCGCGGTGAAGGTGCACGAGATCTGACCGGTGGAGGTGGCGGCGACCCTGGGCGTTGCACAGGCACAGGCTGTTGTCCGCGCAATGGCTGCGGTACAGGAGGATTTGCCGGCGGTGCATGTCACAGCCAACGAGCTGTGCCACCAGATAAACAAAGACAAAGCTTACTGGTGATGGGGTTGGTGCTGAGGGGCGAAGCAACTCCATGTGACACAGCAAGAGATGGTGTAAAGAAGTAGATTCCCTAGACTAGAAGGGGCAGTGAGAGGTAGGGCTGCTAGCTACCTACAGAGGAGATAGGTGATCGAAGAGAAGATCAAGTCTGAGGTTCTCTGCCTCAGACTCCCTACTATTTATACAAATACAATGGTGCACAGACCAGATACCTATTTGTCCCTGCTTGGTCAGAGTCCGCTGACTCATGTCCTGCCTACTGACCTATCACATGGTGTCCTCATGACTAACACCTGAGTCATGCTAAGTCCGGGCTTCCTCCGATGAGTAAGCATCCCTGCTGACGCATGAGTCACCTGCCAGTGAGTGAGGACGGGCGCTCCCGGACCCTACAAGGTCCTGGGTTCGATCCTGGCCCCTCCACTTTCTGATACGAGTTGTCCGTGGTCAAGGTGAGTGTCTGTCCTGGTTCACATGACCCCTAGGTCACGTGGCACGAGAAAAATGTGACAAATCCCTACTCAACTCCTTCTCTCAGAAGAGCGCCGTACGGCCCTGCAGGAATCTGTGATGCTGGTCAGCTTGTTTCCCACAGACGTCGGAATGATGCAGATGATCAAGGCATGTATTACTTTATTCTTTTATGTAATATATGCATCATAAGTCACTAGGCTGTGCCCTTGATTTCTTTGACAACCTTGGTCTCCACTTACCAAGCATATACAATCGGGATGTGTCATCAAAGTGGTCCATCCACTTCTCAAAAGCCGTGCCCTTGACTACTTCCAGATATATACACACAACATACATTTTTCAGTGTATATGCAGCTCTGACCATGCTGCCGGTGCCAGGGTCGCCAAGAAGCGCCAGATGCCGTGGGACAATCTCAGCTGCAATGCCTTTGTCCATGTTGTTGCAACTTTTGACACCCAAACTCGTGCGTGGCAATTCTGTAAGAACGATATTTGATCTCACTTAACACTAGCCCACACACTTATCGCCTTTAACAAGTTTTGGGGCCTCTTCAAACACTCACAAGATTGTGAGGCAGCCATAACAGCGGTTCACAATGTCCGGTTTCCCCTCTATCCAGATATCTGGCAATATGCGGGCTCCTTGCTCCAAAAAGGGGTGTCCGGACTATCGGTTGATACCCAGGCCAATGCTTGGGCACAGATTCGTCATCCTCCAATCACCAATCAAAGCAGCATGGGACCCATAGTATGGGACCCGTACTACTGGTACATCTACCTTCCTCATGACACCTCCTCTATCTATTGCAGCCTCAAGCTCGAAATGGGAATCAGACAATGTTCTAGACCACATGAGAACATTGATGCCTGGTTCCGACAGACCAACCCTAACCCTCCTTCATCAGAAATTGCTAATGCCTGCCTGTTTTATCAACCTTTTGTCCAGGGTCAATCTGATCGATTCATCTTGATCTTATCAACTCCGGATCAATAGGCCTGTGCCTGGTGCTATGGGCATGGGAAGATCATTCTCGTCGATCTAACATTTGGCTTCTCTTTGGCATGTGCTAATGTCTGGATTGTTATGGTCATTGACGAGGCCTATAAAGGCATTCCAGTCGCCTATATTCTCTTCTCAGCCAAAGAGGAGACGTCAGAGCGCGGTGTCCATGCAGACTACAACAAACATCTTCTCATCCAGCTTCTATTACACTGGAGCACAGCTATGGGGACCAATCTGGAGGGGATCCAGTTCCAGCCCCAAGTCGCTGTCAGCAACAATGACATCAAGAAGCGCCATGCAATGACATCGGTCTGGCCAGACATCAAGCTTCTTCTTTGTCTCTTCCATACTTGGCAGGCCTGGTGGAACGCCCTAAACCGCTCCCTCGGTTCCCTTCCAAAAAGGGATGAAAGGATGGAAGTCCGCACCCGGCTTGCAGGGTTTTGCATGTGACTGTAAGTCCTGCTTTAGGAATTAAGCAATTGTTTTAACTGATATAACACCCTGTCACGAACCGCCCTCACGGTGCTACGTTTCCTTTTCGATTCGGACCACTGCCTCGTACGTTTCCTTATTGTTCACTACTCGCTACGGTTTCCCTTTGTCCACACACGGACAATAGCTCCCTTTGTTCCCACATCCGCTATTGTCCTACACCCCTTGTACTCCGTACCCATGGCGACGCTATTGTTCTCTAGCGCCCATTGTTCGTTCCCTGTATATAGCTAGATCCCTTGCTACCTGGAGACTCTAGTTCCGACCTCTTGTCTCCAGGTAAGCCATCGTGTATTTCGCTCTGTAGATACTTAGCTCAATACACTACTTGTCTCCAGTCCTGCCTGTTGAGCTCTGCTCCAGTCTCACTGCGACCAGAGCTCGTCGGTGCTCCTGCCTGCCTTGCTCGTCTCCACTTACTCGCTCGACAGTCAGTCGTAACATTAGGTCGAAACTACCTCACAGGCACCAGCGCCCTCCCACGTTTAACACTCCGTTTATCACTGCCTCCCCCACCTTTCCATCCTGGATTGTAGCTCATTTTTCCACGGCTTTCATCCTGTCGCCGTAGAAGACCAACACTACAACCTCAACTATCAGCGGT